ACATTCGGTCGAAACCGAACAAATTTCGATCAATCGAAAATTGGTTTGTCCAGTATTAAAACTGAAAACCGAATCGAAAATCTACGGTTCGGTTCGGTTTCAAACCGACATTCCAGCGATTTTATCGATTCGGTTATCGGTTATCTGATAAAATAAAAAAAATGATAAAAAAAAAAAAATACAATTTGTGTAGTTACAATTTATAAAAATAACAATCGATGCTAAAAAAAAAAAAAAATACACGGGCAGAGCTTGTAAGGCCTATTGCAAGCATTTACAGCCGCGTTGTAATTTAAGAAGCCCATGTACGAAAATTCATGATTATCAACGGATGTTTTCAAGTGCTGCCAAGTGTTCCCAGCAACGCTATCGGCTTTATCCACTGGCTTTAATGCAGCACCGCCATCGGGCTTCGGGTCGGGGCCGGTTCAAGACACCGGGTTCGGATCTTTAGCATCAGGCTCCAATGGAACTTATTTTTCAGATAATAGGGCAGAGATGAATCTATTTTAAGTAGGGTTTTTTCAACTTTTGTTTTGAACTTATGAAATTTTATGAGAATTGGGATTGGTCTCAGCGGTCTGCATATGGCATCTGCGACTTGGAGGCTGGGAGTATGGATCATGGGCCAATGGCCCATGGGTATGGGAGATGACAAATGAGGGTGAATGGATTTGGGCTTGCTTTGTTGTGGACCTAGTGGTAAGTGGGTTGTAGGTGGCTTTGGGCTTGCGAGTGTTGGGTTGTTGGTGTTCAGTTAATTTTTACTAGTACGTACCCCGTGCAATGCACGGGACATAGATATTAAATGAATTATTTTCAGACGACTTTGTTCGTTTAAGTCTAAAAAATAATAGGGTTATCATATATTTTTCACTTGTATATTAGGGCTAGCTTGTAAAATAATTAATATATTATCTATACATATTAATTCTTTTTTATTGGTTCTACATATTTATTTCTTAATTTGAAATAAAAAAATTGTTTGACCCGTTGAGTATTAAATCAACACTAATTAATTTATTAAGCAAGTGAAGACGCAAACAAGACAATTTAATTATCCAGCAATTTAGGATAATATATAGTTATTTCTTTTATTAAACATGATTTTTAAGAATAAAACAACATCAGCCCCAAATAATAGACAACATTCATGGTTTTGGTTGAAAACCAAAATAACAAAATCCTTTATTAATGGGTAGCATTTAATGCTGCCTTTTTTATAAAAAAAAAAAGAAAAAGAAAAGTTACTAAGAATGGGATGTAATTAATGCAAAATGATTTTGACCAAAATTTGACCTGCTATTTTTGAAAAATGGTAAATCTTTTTATATATATACTAGTGTGTCACCCGCGCGATGCACGGGCTAGTTTTCTTAAGGTAAGAATTTAGATTTAGATGATTGGATGATCGTAAGAACGTAAAACGTATGTATTGGAATAAAACTAAATGTAACTTGTATATTATTAAACACATCTTTGCACACAATATTATTTGTTTGGTCTGTTGGTATATCGTCTATGGCCACAAATTATATTGAATTCAGATAGGCTTAAATAAAAAAATTAAATTATTTAGCAGAATATATATGATATGATTTATATTGGTTTATGAAGAATGCATAGCCAAATATATCGGAGATTGTAAAACGTCTTTCTTGATAATCTATAACTTTATTATTGCAAAATTGTAAAATACTTAATTTAAGGAAAGAAAAAATTGTGTAAGTGTATTCTGGAGGATTAAACAAAATTCAAATTTTTAGAAAATTTTATCCGATTTTATTTTGAATTTTAAATTAATATTATCTGACTCTGTTTTATGTTTAAAAAATACCAAACTAAAGAAAGTAGTAGCTAAATGATAAGGGATTTCTAAGTTTTAATTTTCAATTTGAAATTGGGGCCTGATATCTATAGAATCCGATTTTTGTTAATCAACATGATATGTTGCAATTAGGTAAGATATATATTATATTATTTTGCCTAATTCAAAATTACCAATTCTATGGTAAACAATTTTTATTTTTTTATAAAAATGAGAGAATTTTGACTTTTACAAAACTGTCGTGCCAGATTTTACCTAAATTAACCCGATTTAAATAATGAAATCCGGTTTTTTTTTAATAAACAATTGATATGTTTCAATTAGAAAAAGATATATGTGATAATATTTTGACTAATTCGAAATTCCCGATTTTGTGCTAATCAAATTTTTTTATAGAAAAATTGAGAAAAAAATTGACTTTTGCAAAATTGTATGCATCAATCGAAATTTACCTAAATTAAATCCACAAAACCCATGAATTTAGGGTACATATATAGCTTATTGATTTTTTAGGAATAATTTAAAAAAAAAAATAAAGAACTGCCAAAAATATAATGCAATAAATAAATAAGTTTCTCTTTATACATATATAGATGTGCATGGACAGTTCACTATCAACACAAAGACATTAATTATTTGGTAAAAGCATTTCGATTTAGTTTTAGTTTTAATTTAAAGTATTTCGATTTTATCTGCAAACAGATGAAAATATTGATTTTTTATAATTAGTATACAATTATTTTAATAAGCAAATTTTATTTATAATGTCTTCATTATTAGTAAATTTTTTTAAAAAAATAAGATGAAGTAGTTTACTCACTGATATGCGTTTAAGTTCAAATTCAGTATACTATAACTGTAATAAGCAGATGTTATTTATAATGTCTTAATTTATTAGTAAATTTAAAAAATTTAAGATGAAGAAGTTTACCTACTAATCTGTTATCCTTTTTAAGTTCAAATTAATTAATGCATGTTATTATTTATGTATCTGTTAGGATGTCATGTTACTTCCTTTCATGATATAATATTATTATAAATATAAATCGACAGAAATTATTTTTTTTTTAAAAAAAAAAAAACAACATTATTTGATTTTATGTATATAAACTTGCTTAATATAATATAAAAAGTTGGAAATATAAAGTATGATATAAACAATGTTAAAATTTATATGAAATGTTTGTATATTTTTACATTGGTGGATGAATAGATGGATGTGAATGATTATAGTACTTGTTGATTTTTTTTATTATTTAATGTAATGTTTTATTGATGTATAACAAATTCGAATTTTCTGTCCGAATGCTATCAAGAGGATTGGATGGGGCAGTATTATACTCCAAAATTTTAGAATGCATTAAATGTTTATTGAGTTTTTTATTCAAGAAAGAAACAAAATTGTATTTAATAAATGGTGGGCGAATAAAATTGTCCTGAATTTTTGGGCTTCACGTATGGTATATGCAATCTGATATGACGATTAAACAAATGCCGAGAATTTAGGATGCGTGAGTATTTTTTATGTTTTTAAAAAAAAAATCCAGAAATAGTATGTAATAAATGATGTCTGAAATTTTTTAATGCTATTTTTGGTAAATAGTAAATCTTTTTATATATAGATATATAGATTTGAGATATTTATTCTCATTACTACTCCATGTGAAATGTTTTTTAAAACTACGAAGTGGAAACTTATTTTGTGAGGATACGAATGTTCATCACTTTCTAAAAATTGATATATTTAGTGCCCTCCATTTAATAATTGTGGATAAAACTTCTCTCTCCATATAATCTCACTCTCTCTCCAAATAAAAATAAAAGTCATGTTGATTCTCTCTCCAAATAAAGGTTCTCGTTCTCTCTCCACATAAAGATCAACCAATTAAGTTTAACGGTTTGTACCAAAAAAAAAAAAACTGAACGGACGGGAATGAAGATGGAATTTTTTTTTTTTAAAAAAAAAAAAGAATAATACCAAATATGATAGCCACGATCTGGTTGAATGAATCCTAAAAGACAAACGACTTTTTAGTTGTCGGCGTCTTGCAGTTGGAAAAAAAAGCATCGATTTAACTGAAAAAAACAATAAATAGTCGAAGGAGTTAAGTATATATATTTAGAAAAAAAAAAATATGTCATCGTAAAATGAGTTGTTTAATTCATGAATATATTTAGTATAATTATATTATCCGTATGAGTTGGCTTAATTCATGGAGAGGCCTCCTTGTCTTGAAAAAAAATAAAAATCGAACGAGCTAGAAAAAATTGGTGTTCATGAAATCTCATTTGTTCATGACGTTTTAATCTCGTTTATTGTGGAAAAAATCATCGATCTAACTAAGTTTTTTAATTTATGAATATATTCAGTATAATTATAGCGTTCGTGTAATATAAGAAAATTGAGTCAGTGAAACTGATCATGAAAATATGTTCAGATGCACTGTATATATACATAAAATAAACAACATGTAATTTAACCGTATAGTTATAAATAAGATAAACAACATATAAATACTGAAACTGGATAAAACATAATACACAATTTTGAATGACTGCAAAATTCAAATCGAATGTAGTTATACATAAGATAAACAACATATAAACAACACTGAAACGGTATAAAACATAATGCACAATTTTGAATGATTACAAAATCCAAATCGAATGTAACTGTATAGTTATACATAAGATAAACAACATATAAACAACACTGAAACTGGATAAAACATAATACACAATTTTGAATGACTGCAAAATTTAAATTGAATGTAGTTATACATAAGTTAAACAACATATGTTTACTTTACATGGAATTGAACTTAGAACTTATCAGTTCAAACATATGTCTACTTTACATGACATTTACAAAGTTCAACCAACAACTTTGTGCACTCCAAAAAAACAACACAATATAGATTATGTATAACCAACCCACAATTTGTGTATATGTTTACTACACTCGTTCATGTTTTATATACCCCATATAAACTTTAAATAAACAATCTTCTTATCAAAATTCTGGTGCGTGTTCAAGACTGGAATTTTGGTGCGTGTTGAAAGGAAAATTCGATCGTGCACCAGTGAGGCCAAGTAACCTCCATTACTCTTCACGATCCCTTCTTCATATAGTCATTCCCCATCTTCTCTGTTTTTCTTCACGACGCAATTTCTAGAGCAAGAAACCGCCACCTTTCACCAATTCCACCATATTCCAAGCATCAAGAAGTTTGACGTGAAGGCGATCTTCATCACGATCCTGGCGACCTCGATAGGTATTTCCTCGTATGCCCTCTTGATTCCCACACCGAATAAGTGACAGCCTGCAAAAACCGTTCAGATTAATTAATTGTTGGTGGCCTTCTCTTCGCCCTTGATGAAATTTGAAGAATGAAAAAAAAAAAAAAAAAGAGAATGTTATAGGTTTTTGTTGTTTGCGCTGTTTCGTTTGGTTGAAGAAAACCGATAATGGTGATATTTAATCATCATGACCTTTATTTTGGAAAGAGAATAACCATGATTTGGAGAGAGAGAGTGGGATTATATGAAAAGAGAACGAAACTCGTATATGTGAAAATGAAATGTCCACTAACTTCTTAATTGATAGAAAAATCTACAAATCGTATACTCGTAAATGACTTTTATATGTTGTACATGTGTGTAAATTTCCCTTTTTATTTTAATATCATTATATTAAGCATGCCCGCCCTTATAACATATATGTACAATATCGGTTTTCGGTTCAGTTCGGTTGATCGATGGACTATATAAAAAACGAATTGAACACCGAAATATTAAGAAAATGTGAACCGAAAAAACAAATTAAATATTCGGTTTCGATTTCGGTTGGTTAACCATATTTTGTACATCCATAGTATTCGAGCCCGCCCCAACTTTTCAATTTAACGACAATAGAATTTAAACTTTCTAATTTCAAGGAGAGTTCTTCATTTTTCCTTTGAGTTTTATCAGTTTAGGTTCTACAAATGGATAAACTATGAATTCCTGATCCGAAAGATAATTGATAATTTTATGGCCTTAAAGATTTTGGAGCTTGAAACATACAAAACTATGAATTTAAGACGCGAAGGAGGGTGATTGGATATGAATTCCAACTAGTAAAAAATTAGTTTTTTTAACTATAGTTAAGTT